ATTCCCCACTCCTCCATTTTATTCTCACATCAACCCTGTGAAATAGGTTAAGCTGAGAGGTCTCCCAGCAAGTTTCCATGGTACGAGTGGGGATTCGAACCTGGATTTCCCAGATCCTGGCCTGACACTTTAACCAGTATACCACACCTGCACTCTGAACTTGGCCTAGAAACAAACTGATAGCGGGTGAATCTCCTGGTTTCCAGGCAACCCTACCTTCACCCTTGACTGTTGTTTTTTTTTAATATAACTGTGCTAGTTTGGTGTAGCGGTTAAGTGTGCAGACTCTAATCTGGGAGAACCGGGTTTGATTCCCCACTCCCCCTCTCGCAGCTGCTGGATGACCTTGGAGAAGCCATAGTTCTGTCAGAGGTGTTCTTGGAAAAGAGCAGTTTCTGTCAGAGCTCTCTGAGCCCCACCTACCTCACAGGGTGTCTGTTGTGTGGAGGGGAAAGGAGTATGTAAGCTGCTCTGAGACTCCAAGTGAAGGGTGGGGTATAAATCCAATCTCTTCTCTTCTTCTACTCCAGGCTCAGCTTAAATATGCCCCACATTTGTGCTGTGGAAGTAGCATTCTGAAGGTCACCTCAGTGCCACCTGAGAGTTGTGGGATTCAAGTTTGGTATTTTGTATTGCACCTGAAGACAGAACACTGCCAGTGCTAAATAACATGATATTCCTGCTCATGCCTAAAATGTGAATCACATCTTCTTTATGGCCTGGTTTACACATGGTGGAGAATAAGGTAGCTTCCTCTTGAGATGATAAAATGGATTCCACCACTGCAGACTGAGAAGTCTAGTTCTGAATGCTCCTTGGCATGGTCAAATTAAAAAAACACACACCAAAAAACCCCTTCCTGTAAACAGAAAACTAGCTCGACAGAATAAGCTTCCACACCCAGCTTGCTGTGCTGGTTCTGTCTTGAATTTGTAGAGTTTTTAACATGGAAACACTTCCCAAATGTGTCTTTTCTACCGCCTCAGCATTCTCTTGCAATGTTTTCCCGCGCTGGGAAGTCAATCTCGGCGACTTGTTCTGACTGTTCCCAGGTACGAATGCCAGGCAGAAAAGGGCATGCGCCATTTTAAAGCTACAGCGGCTACAGGGAAGCCCAAAGTCACTGGTGACACGACCCAAAGCCTCCTGCCTCCGCTCCCCCCACGAGAGACACGGGTGTCTTCCTTTTCGGAGGCGCGCGGAGGACTTCGTGGCTTGGGAGCGGCGCGGGTTGCGAGGAGAGCTCCCCCTGCCCGCTCGCGGTCCCCAGCCACAGGCGCCCTCCCGCCCAGCGGGTGGCCTTTTGCCCCCGGCGTGTTTACATGCGCGTGTCTCGCTCCCTCCTTCCTGGTTCGGAGCGGGGAACTGCAACGGGAGCCCCACCCCTCCGCGCCCAGGGCTCCCCGCGCTGCTGTGCCCAGCCGGAGGTGCTCTCGGCGGGCGGTGTGGGCGCAAAAGAGCCGCTGCGGCGGATCTTATGTTCTTATGTTAAGACCGGCCCTCTTCTCCAGTAACAGAGTTCATGGCTTTAGACCTCCTTGCGCAAAAGGAGAAGTGGATTTCGACCTGGAATCCAAAGGTGAGATGGTTATCTCAGGTGGCCAACCTGGCCCCATTCCTTGGGAGCAAATCTCATCCCAAGAGCTTCGGCGGAACCACGGAAAGGATTTACACTGTTTAGGGAAACGATGACTTACCGCTTTTAAAGGCTGAGTTTATTCCCTTTCCAGCGTTCCGTGCGCCTTGGTGTTTAGTCATGCCGGCCACATGACCACGGAAACGTCTTCGGACAGCGCTGGCTCTTCGGCTTTGAAACGGAGATGAGCACCGCCCCCTAGAGTCGGATTCGACTGGCTTTCGAGCAAGGGAACCTTTACCTTTATTCCCTTTCAGTCAATCAATCGTTTATCACAGTAGAAGCCAGCAACGTTATCCGTTCACAATAGTAGCTAGTGAATTAGTGGTAATACAAAAATAAAATATGAGGTATATAAAAAAAAATAAAAATAAAATCCAGAATAAAGGAAAACAAGTTACAGTAGGTCTTCCATTACAAGGGATTTACGTTTTCTAATGACTGAACAACAGAACCTGGCCAAGGCATAAGAGACGGAACGTTGAGAATCTTCTAGGGGAAAGTTAGACAGAGTGTCTGGCCTAAATTCCAGATAAGGTTGCAGAGAGTTAAATTTAGACAGAAGTGGTAGTATGAAATAAGACCGGTCTTCCTGGTAAAAATTACAATGCAAAAGTACATGGGTGGTGGATTCCATCATATTAGACTTACAAGGACATGATCATTACAATTTCCTTTATTTATTTAATTCCTTTATATCTTGCCTTTCCCCCTAAAAGTGGCTTACGTCGTTTTCCTGTCCTCCATTTTATCCTCACAACAGCCATGTGAGGTAGGTCAGGCTGAGAGGGTGACTGGCCCATGGTCACCCTGCAGGCTTCAGTGGTGGAATGAACCTGGGTCTCCCAGCTGCTACTCCCAGACGCTAACCACTAGACCACACTGGTTCTTGTAATATGTTTTTGATTAATGAATAACTTTGGATCCGCCTGCTCACGCTCCCCTCCACGCTTCCCTCACTCAGGCTCACGTTGGTGGCCTGCTGAAGCTGTGACCGGCCATTTCCTAGTGGAGCCAGTGCGGGGTAGCGATTAAGAGTGTCAGACTAGAATCTGGGAGACCCAAGTTCGAATCCCCCCCTCGTGCAATGGAAGCCTGCTGGATGACGTTGGGACAATCACGCTGTCTCAGCCTAACCTGCCTCACACGGTAGCTGTGGGAATAAAATGGAGAGGGCCAGCAACAGGGCATAGAGGCCGAGGCCTTCATAAGAGCATCAGAAGAGCCCTGCTGGATCAGACCAGTGGTCCATCTAGTTCAGCCTCCTGTCTCTCACAGTGGCCAACCAGTTCCTCTGGAGGGCCAGTAACAGGGCACAGAGGCCGAGGCCTTCATAAGAACATCAGGAGAGCCCTGCTGGATCAGACCAGTGGTCTATCTAGTCCAGCATCCTGTCTCACATAGGGGCCAGCCAGTTCCTCTAGAGGGCCAGCAACAGGGCAGAGAGGCTGAGGCCTTCATAAGAACATCAGAAGAGCCCTGCTGGATCAGACCAGTGGTCCATCTAGTCCAGCATCCTGTCTCACACAGGGGCCAACCAGTTCCTCTGGAGGGCCACCAACAGGGCAGAGAGGCTGAGGCCTTCATAAGAACATCAGAAGAGCCCTGCTGGATCAGACCAGTGGTCCATCTAGTCCAGCATCCTGGGCCAGCAGCAGGGCAGAGGCCTTCGTTATAACATCAGAAGACCCCTTCTGGACGAGGCTAGTGGTCCATCTAGTCCAGCATCCTGTCTCACACAGTGGCCCACCAGTTCCTCTGGAGGGCCAACAACAGGGCAGAGAGGCCGAGGCCTTCATAAGAACATCAGCCCTGCTGGATCAGACCAGTGGTCCAGCATCTAGTCCAAGGTATTAATGAATTAGATATGCCAATAAGGGTATACGGATACGTATTAATGAATTACGTAATAATAAAGAGCTCGGGTTCAAGACCCTTTGTTGCTCTCTGAGGTGAGGGCCACCTCTAAACTCTGCCCTTGCTTTTCTCCCAGGAACTGGCAGTGAAGCTTCACGCCCAGTACCCAGAGCACTACCCCGATACCAACCACAAGCCGGAGATGACCATCGCCCTGACTGCCTTTGACGGTCTGTGCGGCTTCCGTCCTGTTGAAGAGATCGTGGCCTTTCTTCAGCGTAAGTGAAATGTGGAAAATGAGGGGGGGGGGGTAAGTGATGGCTACTGCAGCCGTGAGGGCTGAATGGAAACTCCACGAGCAGGGGCAGTCTACCTCTGATTGCTGAGGCCCAGGGCAAAAACAGCGGAAAGCTTTGGCCCTCTGTGCCCCAGCAGGTGACTCTTAAATCTAGTGAGTCACAACAGGAAATGAAATGCTGGACCAGATGGAGCTTCAGTGTGATCCAACAGGGCTCTTCTTACGTTTTACGGAATGACCATTGCAGGTTACGGTAGGATACAGAATGTACGGAGGCGATTCTGTTTCTAGTTACAGAGAGGCAGTGTTCTGTAGTGGGCAGACTGGGGGACTAAGAACTCTGGGCAACTCGGGTTTGAATACCGACTTCTTCCATGGAAGCTCGCTGGATGACCTTGGGTCTGTAACAAACGCTCAGCCCGGCCTATCTCGCAGGGTTGTTGTTGTGAGAAAATGGGGGACAGCAATGTGCTGAGCCACTTTTGAGTCCCAACGATGGGAAGACAAGAAGAAGAAGAAAAGAGGTTGGATTTACACCCCGCCCTTCACTACCCGAAGGAGTCTCAGAGCAGCTTACAGTCTCCTTTCCCTTCCCCTCCCCATAAGAACACAAGAGAAGCCAATGTTGGATCAGGCCAGTGGCCCATCCAGTCCAACACTCTGTTCCTCTCAGTGGCCAAAACTACCCGGTGCCATCAGGAGGTCCAGCAGTGGGGCCAGGACACTAGGAGCCCTCCCACTGTTGCCTGTGAGACACCCTGTGAGGTAGGTGGGGCTGAGAGCTAGGTTCTCTTTAAGCTGCGCCAGGCTGTGCTGGCGCACCGATTTACCCCGCCCAGTGCAGCAATTTTTAGCGCAGGAGCGGGAGGTTCCCTGCACAATTTCTCTGCCTTCCAAGTTGGCCACGCCCGCTCGGCTCGTGGTCCCCAGCCAAAGGGGCCCTCCTCCATCTCGCCATGAGGGTGGCCTTTTGCCCTCGCCGTGTTTACACGCGCGTGTCTCGCTCCCTCCTTCCCGGTTCAGAGCGAGGAACTGCAATGGGGGGAGCCCCACCCTTCTGTGCAAAGGGCTCCCCACACTTCTGTTTCTAGCCGGAGCCGTGTGTGGGCACAGAAGAGCTGCTGCGGCGGTCCCTGACGGCTTCCCGGCCAGCTATCCCCTGGTCCCAGCCTGACCAGCTCCCCCCTATCGCACCCAGCTTGAGCGCCTCAGAGCAGCAAAAGAGCCCAACCTGGGCGGCCAGGAGCGGCACTCCCGCCCCTTCGCCCGCGCTTTAGTCACCAGGCCACGCTCGCTGCGCTCCAGAAGCAGCAGCCGCAGCAGCCGCGGAGCGGCTCCGGATTTGCGTGTCCTCCCGAGCCAGGCAACTCCGGAGGCGCTGCTCTGGAGGGAGGGGGATTTCCCCCGCCTCCTTCTGCCCGCTGCGAATCGACCGGCAAAGCTGCCCCCACGTCGACCTGCCAAACGCCGCCTTTTCTCTCGGTCTCCTCTCCCCTTCCCCGGGTGTGTGGGGCGGGGGGCTTCTCTCTCTGCCGCCGCCGCTCCCCCTTCGGTCTCTCACAGCTGCTGGTGGACGCGACAGACCCCCGGAGCCCAAGGAGGCCAAAAGAGAGCGAGGACGCCTCGGGTGAGTTACGAGCTCCTCTCCCCACCCCCACCCCACGCCCCGCTTTTGTCTCCGATCAGCGCTCTCTGGTGGGAGCTGCCAAAATATTAACAGGGGAAGGGGGGGGGGGGAGAATTGCGGAGATGGTGGCGTGGCTGGCGGTCAGCGATTGACAGTCTGTTTCCCGGCCGCGTCTGGCACCGTTGCACGCGAGACGCGACACCTGTATACGATCCGGGGTGTGTGTGTGTGTGTGCGCGCGCGCCGGCCTGTCACTGTATTGTTGTGGTCTGGACTGTAGACAGGGAGGTGGGTCGGTGAGCTGTTGTTTTGCCTCCCACGTTTGGTCTGACAGTCCAAGAAATAGACGACCACCTGCGGGGGGAGGGGGGGGAGTTGTTCTTGGCCAGTGACCTTCCCAATTTTCTATACTTCCTAGGTGTTCGATAAAGCTGTCGCCAATGTAGTATATAAGCCAATCAATGCTGACTTTTATTGCAGCCCCCCCCCCCCCCCCCTTGGGGGGGGTTTTTGGGGTTAAAAGGTTTGGGGGGGGGGGGGAGTGAACACACCGGAGAGCTTGGTTTTGCTGATTTAACGGGACAGGGGATAATGCCAGGTATTGAAAATGGAGAACAAATCTTGCTCCAGAAATGGAGACATAATGAAATTGCTACAAGAAAAAAGGGGCAGGGGAACAGGGAGAGACTCTGGCTGTTGGTTACACAGGCCTGGATTTCCGCTAGCAGATAGTTTGGTAAACAGAAGGCTGCAATTGCAGTTTCATCTTCACCATATATAAGAGCAGCTAGAAGTTATAATTCTTAGAATAAGGCTGTGATAGGTATGTAAATCCCAAACGATAAAAGCATAAGAGCAAAAAAGAAGTCTCTGAATGCTTGCACACTCCACAGCTAAGCTAAGTTGGTTCAAAACCAGATACCATTTTAGTTTCATGGTACAGGCAGAAAACAGAGGAGGGAGTTCATCCCCTGTATTTGTGAGTGGTTTGTAATGTCAGCTGACCTTGGAATTGCCAGAGAAATAGAAGTGAGTCAGTCTTCAGAACTGAAACTCTCACCTTAACATGGACACCAGTCTGGTTCTGTAAGAGAGTTAATCTGAGGACTGTTTTTGAATCCCGTGTGCTCTTGCATCCCAGGTGGTGTCATATCCTTGCTTGTGATCCATGTGAATTTTTCAGGATAGTCTCATCTCAAAAGTATTGAACTTGGTAATAGCGCTGTGATTGCTGCCAGCCTTTGTTCACCAAAGTAGTTGCTGGAGGGCATAAGGCCTTTACAGCTCCACTTCCTATAGGGGCTAGTTCACGCCCACATAGTTCATTTGGCTTGGCCTGTGCTGTGCTCCTGACAATTGTGAGCTGGTGGTGTGTTCTTAATGAACACACCACACCACATATTTCCACGTGTTTTGGGTATTTTATAAATCATAATGCTGCAGGAGATACTTCTGGATGTGAGGTGTAATCATAATTAAGTTAACAAGAATGAAGTTGCATTCAATAAATACTTGTTAACCAACTCATGCTTTGCAATTGCCAGCACATGAGTTTTACTGTTCCATCACCTGTTCACAGATCTCGTTAGGAACTTGAAAATTAGAATTTAACCCAAGACAGGATCAAATGCATTTCCATGAAGTTTAGTTTGTTTTAGAAATGTCTTTATTATTGTAAATTTTTGCAACCTTTGTGAAGGTTAGGAAGAAGGCACCATAACAATACTTTAAATAAAGACATATTAGTGCCGAGAGCAACTAATTTCTGCGATTGCAGTTTTCTACTTTTGGAAGGGTTTTAAATATCAAACACCCAAATTAACAACATGAAAACCTTGCAGGCCTTTTGGTATTGTGCCCGTACAAGGTATGTGTTATGTCATGTTTTAGACTTCATTGCAAAGAAAGCTGTATTTACAACACACCTACGCTTCTGAAACAGACAAGCCCTTTCAGATCAGTTGTAGAAATTCAATTTTTTTTTTAAACCCCCAGAGGGGTATTTTTATTTTTTCAATATGACTACAAACTACAAAGAAAAATATAGGAAGGGGAACTACAACTATGGAGAAAGGAAAGATACCCACACTAACTAAAAATCCAAGAGTGGGAGACCCCCTTTATGTTAAACTTAATATTAGTATTAAAAGAGTTAGTAAAACAGTATGCTTGTAGAGTTCTTGTTTTCCACATTGTTCTGTATTAGTAAATTAGTTATTATGAGAGAACTTTCTGAGCATCTTCTTTGTTTCAAAGGGCCATTTATAAGAGTCCTTCTGCCCTTACTTCAGCTTTCTGTCTCTAAAATCATATACAGTTTTCATTGCTCCCGCACCCGCTTCTGCAGCAGAGTCCTCATCCGATCCCGAGGCAGCTGAGTCACTTGACTTAGTTTCTTCCTCTTTAGAGTCTTTTCCCCGATCCCAGCTGACGTCTCAAGAATTCTTTGACTTTGAAGATGGAGTCGATCTTCTCCCTTCTATCGTTGATTTTAAAGATGACACCTTCAGGAATCGCCCACCTGTACTGTATATCGTTTGTTTGAAGAAAAGTAATTAACTCCTTGTAGCTCTTTCTCTTCTGACAAATTTCAAATTGTATTCCCAAATTTCAGTGGAGTTGCTGAAGTTGCCTTTAATATAGCATCTCTGGTCTGTCTTCTTGCAAATCTCACCACAATCTCTCCAGGCAGGCTATTTTTAAAAATATAATTGGAGTAAGCCCTATAAGCTGTCTCCATGTCTTTTATTATTTCCTCCGCTGGCAAGCCTGTCACTGGAGCGATAATATCACCCAGAGTCTTTTTCAAATCTTCTTTTTCTGTCTCAGGAACCGTTCCCCTGCAACCTGAGAATCATATTAGCCTTTTCCATTTGCAGCTGCAACAAACGATTTTCTTGAAGATTTTGTTTTGTTTCCACTTCACCCATTCTTTTCTTCATCTTCTTGCTTGAGATGTCTATCTCTGTAACTTTCTCAGCCACCAGCTCCACTTTTTCCCCCATTTCTGCCAGCTGTCGCTGTTGTGAAGCGAAGTTTTGATTTAACAAGGTCAGTTGCTGGTTAATACCATCGAGCTGACCCATCACTGGCTTGAGCATATCCGCTAACAGCTTCATGACGTCAGCTCCCTCTTCCGGCCTCGGACTCTGAGGCTTTGCTTTAAACTTTCCTTGTGACGCCGCCATTTTTCAACTTTGTTTACACTTTCAAACCGCTTCTCCCGGGCTTGAAGCACTCGTCAATTCGCTATTTGCACTCAAGTAAGTCTCTCAAAATTCACACACTGTTTCCTCCCACTCCCCCTTCACTGCGTTTATCTGTCCTTGTGCTTCAGAGGCATCCCTCTTTGCACTCCACTTTTCCCACGGGGAGGGGGGGTGCCGTTTATCAAAGTTCATTTACTTAGAACTCACGTTCATTGTTGGTCACATTCCTGACCTCGCTCACATCAGTCGTTGTTCCGCTCGGACTCCCCCGCTTGTCCCGGTTGGGTTAGCTTGTGCCCTAAGGCCACTCATCGGTAGGACCGTCAGAGCAGAGGGAAGCCTCGATTCTCCGGCAGCAAGCTGTCGAAGAGGCTAACCCTCAAAGTTCTCTGGCTGGAGCCTTTCACAAAGACTCTGTGGGAGTGCCACTTGAGGTGGCACCCCTCCATGCCGATGGTGTGCTAATCGCCTCCCCAAGCTCTGGGGAGAGCGACTACCATCGCCAATCCATAGACAATCCATACCATCGCCAATCCATAGTCAGTTGTAGAAATTCAATTGAAGGTATTCTTACTACAGGGGATTGCAGCCTTTTTGAACTTCCAAGCACCTTTGGAATTTTAACACAGAGCAGTGGGTGCATTCACAAAATGGCTGCCACAGGAAGTGGAGCCAGCCACAAAGTGTCTGCATGCACACAGTGATGTTGATTGGCAGAAGCAATATTCTACGGGCTCATATGGGGAGGGGCGGTCTCAAAGATAATTTTGATCTCTGCCCACCCATAGCAAGGATCCCTTGGACTGGGAATTCTTGACAGGGACCCTTGGTTTACTATGTTGCTCTAAAATAAAATGTATGACAGGGTTTTTTTCCGAGGGATTGTACACCATCCCTCAACATATATTTTGATATTTATAACAGTATGTAAACACATTGCAAACAATAAGAAATCTTAATTGCCTTTCAAAACTTCAGTACATGGAGAACATAGATAAGGTTATGGAGTAGTCACATAGCTCAACATTCAGTTGTATTAGAAAGTTTCAGCTGTACACATTGAGTGAAAATGATCTTAGACTTTGTAGATAGTTCTCGTTTTTCTAAGGCTCACGTGTATGAAGACATGAAGTTGCCTTATATTGAATCAGACCCTTGGCCCATCAATGCCAGTAGTGTCTGCTTAGACTGGCAGCAGCTCTCCAGGGTGTTAGGTGGAGCTCTTTCACATCACTGGCTACCTGATCCTTTTTTAAAATCTCTCTCTCCATCCATCCATCCATCCATCCATCCATCTAAATTTTTGGAAAACAAAGAGATAATATAAAGAAAGTACAGAAAGGAAAAAAATAATTGTATATAATAAACAAAGAATTAAAAAAATTCTCCCCAACACCTCCTTCATTACATTAAAGAAGTTTTGAAACACTGTCTATAAGGTACATTAAAAATTACTTCTGTTGGGAAACATTTATATTCAGCATTTTACATATTGAATTTTGTAACTAATCCTTTTCTCAAGTAAGTTATTTGTTGCACTTTTACTGCATACTCAGTACTGTATTCTTTCGCCATTACTGCATACTCAATATTTTTGTCAAATAAATAATATATTTATTTATTGGTTTAATTTATAATTTAATTTATAAAGATACAGAAAAAGGAAGATAATTATATATCATTAAACGGAAAATAGAAAATATTTCTCCCCAATACTCCCTTCATTACATTTTTTTTAAACACTGTCTGGGAATACAGTAAAAATAACTATGGTTGGGATACTTTCATATT